TTTTCAGTTTTAATCAAACACTTACTTTATGTGATTCCATTTTGTCTCCTTTCTTAGCATACATATTATGCTTTTAAAAAAATTTTAAGTGGTTGCCCTAGAATTTACAATATACAGGGTCTGGCACAAATAATACCCCTCTTTTATTACGAAATCTCTTATTAGAAAATCATAAGCATGTAATTCTGTAGCATAACAATATCACACTCAAGCACACCGTATGATATTTTAGGTGAAATGTTCAAATTAAAACTATAAATTATTACACCCATATTATTATTACCCTACCAAGCACATTCAAGCAGGCATTACTTCTGTCAGACCCTGTGAATTTACAACCAGTGCAAGTAGATAGTGTAAGTGTCTTATTAAAATAACTATTCCTAAATCTTCCTCTGCCTCATATCATTGCTGTCATTTATTTTATCTCTACACTCAATAGAAGTATACACTCACATAATTGAATATATTATTGCCACTATTATTTTGAACAAACTGTTACCTGTTAGGTCAGTTAAGAAAAATAAAAGTTTTCTCCCCTTATACCTTTTGTAATGTTCTTTCTTTCTATATGTAGATCCAAGTTTCTGACCTATATTATTTTCTGTCTGTCTAAAGAACTCCTTTTAACATTTCTTGCATTGCAAGTCTACTGGCAGCAAATTCTCTGTTGTTGTTTTTTTTGTCTAAGAAAATAATTCTCCTTCACTTTTGAAGAGTAATTTTATAGGGTTATAGAATTCTAGGTGGTGGATTTTAGTCACAACACTTTAAATGTTTCACTCTATACTCTTTTTTTCTTTCATGGTTACTGAGAAGTCAGATAAAACTTTTATCTTTGCCTGTGTCTAGGTAAGGTTTTTTGTTGTATTTTTCTCCTTTAAGAATTTTTTTATCTTTGATTTTCACAAATTTAAATCCTTATGTGTAGTTTTTGGCATTAATTCTACTTGGTGCTCTCTAAGCTCCTTGGGTCTGAGATGTGGCCCCTGACAATGTGAGGAAATTCTCAGTCATTATTGTTTCCAAAATAGTGCTTCTCTTCCTCTCTTCCTTGTTGTGTTCCCATTACATGTATATTACACATTTTTGTAGTTCTCTCACGGATCTTAGATATTCTGTCCTATTTTTTCCAGTCTGTTTTCTTTGTGCTTTTTTGTTTTGGGAGTTTCTGTTGTGATGTCCTCAAGCTCAGAGATTGTTTCCTGAGCTGTCTGTAGTCAGTCTCCTGATGAACCCATCAAAGACATTCTTCATTTCTGTTACAGTGTTTTTGATCTCTAGAATTTATTTTTTATTCTTTTTTAGAATTTTTATGTTTGGGCTTACATTATTCACCTGTTCTTGCATTTCATGTACCCTAAGGTTAAAGCCCTTAAGATATTCATCATAGTTTTAAAAATTTCTCTTCTGATAATTCCAACATTCTTGACATAGCTGACTCTGGTTCTGATGCTTGTTCAGTCTCTCTGGACTGTTTTTTTCTTTTAGTATGTTTTATAAATTTTATAAGGTAGAATTGATGAACTGGGTAAAATGAAATGTGGGAAGTAGGCCTTTAGTAATATAGTGGTAAGGTGTTGGAGGGAAAGTATTCTGTAGTCTTGGATTAGGTCTTAGTCTTTTAGTGGGCCTGTACTCCTGGACTGTGAACTTCGATAGTGCTTCTCAGTTTTTTTCTTTCCCACCCTTAGGTGGGACAGGGTGGTATTTCCCTACCTGATGTGCAAGGCTAGAGGTAGCTGGAGTTAGGTGTTTTCTTTCTAGGTAGGTTAGTTTGCATCTAGCTAACCTTCTTAGACAGGTTGGTCTCTGGTAAAATATTGGGTTGGCCAAAATGCCCGTTATGTTTTTTCTGTATGATGGCTGTAGTAGTGCTTAGTTGTCGGTAGCTTTATTTGAAACAATTTTGTTAGGTTGTATTGTGACAGCTGTCACTTCAGCATGCATTTAAAAAATTTTACCAAACTTGGTGAATTTTTGTGCAGCCATTTTAATATTGAAGATGGAAGAAAACATGCAACATTTTCAGTGGATTATGCTTTATTATTTCAAGAAAGGTAAAAGTGCAACTGCAATGCAAAAAAATATTTGAGCAGTGTATGAAGAAGGTTCTGTGACTGATCAAACATGTCAGAAGTGGTTCGCAAAGTTTCTTGGTACTATTGACATTTGGCCAAGTAATTCTTTGCTGTGGGGCTGTCTTATGCATTGGAGGATGTTTAGCAGCTCTCTTGGCCTCTACCCACTAGAAGCCAATAGCAAGAGATACCTGACATACTAAAAATATCCAGATATTATAAAATTTTAAATTTTATATTATAAAATTAAAATATTATAAATATTTTAAAATTTTATATTATAATATTATATTATTATAATATAATATTACACATATATAATTTTATAATATTTTATAATTTTATAATATTATATAATAATTTTTATATTTATTATATTTATTTTTATATTTATAGTTTTAATATTTATTTTATTTATATTTCTTTTATATTTATTATATTAAATTATATTTATAATTTTATAATATTATATATATATAATATTATAATATCATATAATAATATAATATTATATTAATATATAATATTAATATATTAATATATTATATAATATATTATAATAATGTAATATTATATAATATTATATAATATATAATATAATATAATATAATATTATAATATTATAATATTATAAAATTTTAAAATATTTAAAATATTTTAATATAAATTATAAAATTATAATTTATATTTATTTAAATATATAAAATTATATAATTTTATAATATAATATAATAATATTATATTATAATATTATAAAATTTTTCTTTATCATTAAAGTTATTGGTGAAAGTGATAAAATTTTTCTTTATCACTAAAGTTATTGGTGAAAATGAAAAATGTATCTTTTATTTTATGGATAAAACAACAGACTTTTTGGGCAACCAAGAAGTTTTTCCTGAGATCAGATCTTGTTAAGAAGAACAGGGTGTTCTGATGTATTTCTGAATGGTCCGTCCTCTCCTTCTGTTGTAAGCATGAGGGGATTTTTCTCTGATGTTTACTGTGAGGACCTGTCAGAGCTCCTGGAGGTAAAACTCAAAAAAGCTGAGTGTCCTCTATAACTGGATCTCCCTGGGGACTTGTCCCTGCTGAATGGCCAGCAGTTCATCAGTTTGTCAGTTGCAGTTCTGGTTTTCCTACCCCAACATTGGTTCCCGTGGAGATTCTGTTGCAGCAAGTGTGATTCTTTCTGTTCGTCTGTTTCTCCAATTTTGGGGACAATAGTTTACCCTATGACCTCACTTCTCTCACAGATGTAAGAAGAGTTGTAGAATTTTCATTTAGTTCAGCTTGTATTAGTAAAGCAGATGAAGTGGCAATTTCAAAGCTCATTACATGCCCAGTTGGAAACTATCTATATTAACTTCTTACAGTCTTCTAGCGTAGCCTAGCCATTCTCCTGAGTTCTGGACCCACTTCTCTAACTGCCTTGTGTGTATGTTGAAGTGGTATCTGAATGCCAGTAAGCTCTGGTTGTAATTAAGTTCATCTGCTTAGACTATTGCTGTATAACCTTACCTCTGCTTAGACTCAAAATTTCAGACTTTGTTTTTTTTTAATGTTTCTTATTCATTCGCCTCTTAAAAAATAATTTTCTCTAAGTTCTTTTAGTTCTGCTCCCAGAGTTTTGTCAGTTCCTCATTTTTGCCAACTAAATAAGTTAGAGTAACTTCTAAAATTGATTTTTTCATATCCAGTCTCAGTATCCTGTATCGTCCTGTTCCCTGCTTCTAGTTGTGTAGCATCTTTTAAATTCTTTCCTTTTAATCAAAAGTTATCAAGAGTTTCTGCACTAGGCTAAATATCAGGGAATTTGTAAATTGCCAGGAAGTTACCCAACAAAGCTAGGGAATTTACAAAACATAGTTCACAGTCTTCTGAAATCATGTTACTTTCTTCTTCTGAAACCATCACTGACTTTCCACTTTCTATGAATTAAGGTTAAACTTTGAGCCTTGCAGTTCTATGGTATGATCCACTTAGATTATAAAATTTTTCTTTATGCTCCCGGCTCTTGTAACCTGTGCTTTAAATGGACATGGGTACTTTCTGCATATATTCTGTGTTTTGCATTTTTAAAATGTTCTTTTTTTTTTCTTTTATTTGCTCCTGCCAGAATCTTCCCCATTTTCAAACTTTATCTCAAAAACTACCACCCCAGTTAGGCCTTTTTTCTCATTTTCCCAACGTCATCACTTATCCTCGTACCTACTGATGCTCTGTTCTTCAGGTGGCTTTCCTTTGCCTACCATGTCATCCCAACATATCGTGTCCTGTAGGTGATTATGTAAGGGTTCCTCTTATGCCTCTAGTTTTCATTTGAGTTTATAAAGGGCAGTGCCTGACTCCGTCATCTTGACATACCCTGAGCATGATAAATGCTGCCTACATCGTTTTTGGATTGCATCTCCACCTTTGGGACAGTCTGAGTTCTTCAAGGCTTCATTCATCAAGTTATATAGAGGCACATATATGCGCTGCTATAGAGCCTTTCCATAGCTACTACACATACAACTGTCTTAGCACTTTGACAGTTTCATTGTGTTTTTTCTGTGTGATACTTTATTAAACTGCTGGCAAGCTGGAATTTATGTCAAGCTCTGTTTGTAGCTAGAGCCTGTATGTACTCTTTGTACTTTATCTTATTTCCAATTTCTTCCCATTTGTTCAAGACAAAAACTTTTTTAAAAAGTTGTAAATTGAGGTTATTGGGGTACAGATTTCAAGGGTACAACTCAATACAACATCATCTGCTCAGTTCATCGTTTGCCCATCATCTTAAGCAAAGTCCCTTTCCAAGACAAAGGGGGTAGGTTGAGGGGGGGCGGGTAGGTGGAGGTGGGCAAAGCGGGAGGAAATGGGGACAGAAAGACAAATAAACTTTTAGAGTCTTAACTGTTTTTTTTTTTTCCCCAATAGCCACAATATGAAAACACGTCGCTCCAGAGTCCATTTTCAGATCAGTCAGTGCCCAGTTCCCAGCAAGAGGAACTTGAGCAAAAGCTTGTATCTACTGAGAAAGAGGTTTTACAGCTTAATCAGTTTCTCAAACAAAGAATAAGCCAATTTAGTGAAGAGAAGAAGAAACTAGAGGAAAAGGTAGGTATTTTTAAAAAATTAAATTAGATCAACAACATGTCTTCAACGTATGAGTATTCGTCTGTTATCTGCTCTATGCCAGGTATCATACCAAGCTATAAATGTACATTGGGGTGATTAGTTTTGTAGTAACTCGAGTGACCCTACTTAGAAAGATCTAGGGATCTAGGGATTTTCCAGAGGGATAAAAATACCACTGTATGTTACCCCTTTCTGATAGTGAAACCTTTGATGTTCATTGCCTGCACTGAGATGTGAAACCAGTACCTGTTGTCCCTTTTCTTTCTGGGCCCTGTTTCTGTGTTGGGCATGAATGGATTGGTAGGTGAAGTAAGGGTGGTCCTTCTCTCATTTGCAAATGGCTTCGAGTTATTTAAGCTGAAGCCCCTGGTTCAGAATATGTAGCTAAATGCCAAATACTTTTATATCCACAATATATCTGTACATTTATTGGACTGTTCTGCCTATAGTATTTTTACATATTTCATCTCATTCCTTTCTAATTATATGAAAGATATGGTAGGATACATGCTAGCCTTAATTTACTGAGAAGGCATAGATCCTTAAGCTACTACTTAGTGGCAGAACTGGTTTTAAATTTCTCTTTTGGTATACACAGCTTGTTGTATTAACTGAATCCTCTATTCAAGTGGTCTTGAAGCTGGTCACCATGATTTCTGCAGGGAGATTGGAGCAATTAATAGAGATCTAGAAACTGACATTTTTGTGTGAGTGTGTGTATATTTATATATATATATTTATTTATTGAATTTATTGGGGTGACATTGGTTAAGAAAATCTGTAGGTTTCAGGTGTACAGTTCTATAATACATATCTGTATATTGTGTTGTGTATTCACTACCCAAAGTCAAATCTCCTTCCAACACCATTTTGAGTTACAATTTTTAACTTCAAAAAGTCTGGCAAAAATTTTACATGGTTCCTCTTTCTGTTGTACAATGTATTTTTACTTGGCTAATTTGAAAGTGCCTTCAGTACCTGCTTCTTGTGGTTTCTTTTCAGTACTTAGGGGGCTTCATACAGTATAGTTTGGAGGGAGCTAAGGAAATATTCATTGATTGATTGTACAGATGTAGGAGCAATTAAAATATTTTCTTACCTGATACTTGTTAATTAAAAGATTGGGTTAAAATTATGATTATTCAGTGAATATGATTTTAAAATTTATGTTTGTATTTTGTCTGAATGTTTTTTTCTTTTATTACTTTTGATGTCCAGTGCTTAATAAAATCAATTTATACACTAACTACATATTTGACCGCTTTTGTATGAATGTCTTAAAAATACTTCAAACTTTCATGTCTGAAACACAATTCTTTTTTTTTCTTATTCTCACTTTTATTGATTTGAAAGAGAGAGGGAAACACTGAAGTGAAAGATAAACATATCAGTTACTTCCCATACACACCTGACTAGGAATCAAACCCACAACCTAGGGATATGCCCTGACTGGGGATTGAACCGCAACTTTTTTGTGTATGGGACAAAACTTCAACTGACTGAGCCATCTGGCCAGGGCCCAAACACAATTCTTAATTTGCCTCCTACTGCCCTATTCTTCTCAAATGAAACAAAACAAAATTTTGTTCAGTGTTGATTACCATATATGCAGTTACGAATGCTAGAAACTATTAAGCCTGTCAAGTCTGTCTCCTAACTCCTGGTCCTAGTTATCACGTCTTGGCAGAGCTTTCGCAGTAGCCTCTGAATCCATTCTTGTTCTGCCTCTCTGCCCTTTCCTTCCCCTACTTCTTTTTGTTGTTGTCATACTTCTATGTATTTTATTTATTATGCTTTTAAAATTCAAAGCATTATTTATATACAGTCAAATGTACAGATCTTGGGTGTTCAGTTTGGTGAGTATTGCTAAGAGTTTATGCCCCTATAACCAGTATCTAAAATGAAACCTTTCAATCACCCAAGAAGTTCCCTTGTGCTTCTTTCTAGTCTGTCTCCTTTCCCTCCTGGAAATACTTTTTTAACACTATAAAACGGTTTTGAGTCTTACTGAATTTCTTATAAATAGAGTCACACAGTATATTCTTTTATGTCTGTTTTCTTTCACTCAAGGCCTTTAAGATTTATTCATATTGTTGCATGTATTGGTAATTGCTGAGTTGCCTTTCAGTGTAGAGATAGTATCTACTCTCCTATTCATGGATATTTGGATTGTTTGCAGTTTGGGGAAATTATGAATGAGGCTGCTGTGAACATTTTTATACCAGACTTTTTGTATATATAGGTTTTCATATCTCTTGGATAAATGACTAAGAGTGGAATTTCTGGGTCATACAGTTCATAGAATAGTAACGTGATTTACAAGAAACTCCGTAAGTTCTCCCAGGTGTTTGTATGTACCATTGAACACTTCTACTACAAATGTATGAGAGTTCTAGTTGCTCTACATCCTCCTAAACCCATTTTTGATAGTGTGGAGGACTGAACCTTTTCAAAGAAGATCTAGTAGTGTCACTTACTTGGTTAAAACACATTAATCCCATCTCCTTGTCTTTAAAATAAGAGTTGAATTCTCCCCATAACCTGAAAGACCCCGCCTACTTATAGCCTTAGGGTGTACTAGTCCCCTTCTAGTATATGGTGTCACTGGTACAGTGTCTGACAGTTGCACACACAGCTTTGTTTCTGGTGTCAGGTCTCTACGGAAAGTATCCTCTTTGCCTGGTAAATACTTGGCTTCTTTTGCCATTCTCCTGTCACCTATTTATTTTGTCAAGTTTCCTTCCCCTCAAACCCTTCCTTGAAGATGTAGATATGCTTAGATCATTTTGTTCTTTTTTCTAGTGCTTAACACAATCTTGAATGATCATTTTAAAAAATATTTCTCTGTAAGTTCCATGAAGTCAGGATTGTACCTGAATGTGTCACCAGCTGTGCTGCCTGGAACATTTAGTGAGTGAATGAATAAATCAATTAACCAATCAAGGAATGAATCAATGAATGCTTTTAAGTGATTTTTGCCCAGAGAGAAGGAAAGGAAGTGAGATAACCCCAACAAAGGACTAATTAGACAGAGATATCAAAGATGTCAGAGTGGGTACATGAAGAGCAAGTTCCTATGAGAAATGAGGAATGGTTGATAACAATTACTAGGATGAAAGAGGTACTCTTGGAAAGGAAAAGGAATTGCCTCTCTGTGAAGTGAAACAATTAAGAATGGAAGTGTCTATATCAGAGAAACTTGGGGAGGGTGGTGAATGTAGAGAGTAGAGTTTGTGCCCACAACATGGAGAGGACTTGAGTTCCTGAAGGGAGTGTAGAAATGGAAAATAGACTCATCAATAATGCATCAACTAAATAGCACTTTGGACTCACCTGAGATTGGATTGCATTGTTTTCCTTCTGCATTTATTCTCTGTAATGCTGATCAAGACTAATTTTTTTTTACGTAAAAACATTTAATGTGATAATCAGCATAACAGAAGTTATTTTTTAATGAGCTTTTTCTTGTATGTTGCAGGCAGCATGTTAATGTGCATTAAATGCATTTTCTTATTTAATCCTGATCTTCAGAAAACCCTATGAAAGAAAGAAAACCCTATGGCCCCATTTTAAAAAATGAGGTACCCTAAGCTTTGAGAAAAATAATTTGAATAATTTGTCTAGGTCCATGTGGATAGAAATTGTTTAAAAGCTAGGAGTAAAATTCAAGACAGTTGAACTCCACAGCTGATGCTTTGGTCCTAATAATTTATAAAAAATTTAGAGGAAAAACTTCCTCACTAATCTTTTTTGTTCTAAGTATTATATTTAAAACAAAGGAAAAAAATTTGTTAACCTCTTTAAAACAGGGCCCTCCTGTTACCTTTAAAAAATGGTCTTAGTGTTTACTCCCTAGAAAGGAAAAACTTAACTTTTTATAAATAGAATAGGAAAAATTTATTAGTTATGTCTCATTTACCTGGAGGTAATTACTAGAGACTTCAATAACCTCTCTTAACCTGAAACAACACAAACCTTTGAAGTTTAAAAAAAAAAAAAAAGAGCTTCTCATCAGTGAGCAAGGCTGAAAAAAATTCCCAAGACCCAGTGGTTATAGCTTATCAGCCCCTTGTCAACAAACAACAGAGATGGCATCAAGTAGGAGAGTGCTGGCAGAAATTTGTGATCAACAGCAGCAAGCTTGGCATGATAGCAAGGAAGGCAGGTGGCTGACCAAAGGAAAAGAAGAAAACGAGGACGTCTTTGCATAGTAGAAGACTGCATGACTGACCTATTCCAGGGCTGATTTTGGGGGACGTCAATATAGCTCACATTTAAGACACTTAAACAACTAAGTGTGAATTATGGAACGTTTAGTAAAAATATGCTACTTAACATTTATTTCTGTAACTACAGGGTTGTTTGCTACGACGAAAGTAGACTTTGTTGGATTGTTTGCAGTCCAGGCACGGCTGGCCCCTCGAGAATTGATGGGCATCTGGTTATTAGTAGTATGCAACCAAAAGAACGTTGGCTTGAAAGTTCGTTCAGACAGCCTGTGTTTAAATCCCAGCTCTGTCTCTGTGACTAGTATTAAGTCACTAAAGATCTCTAGGCCTCATATTCAAAAAGGGAATTGTATTATGTGGTCCCTCAGGCTATCACCAGTGCCAACAGTCTGTGAGTTCCAACAGATCACAAGTTAAATTGTCACGCCAACATACTTGCCTTCAATCCTGAGAAAGCCCCAGTAAATAATAGGGTTTGTCTGTTTTACCCGTTTTGCTATTTACCCAGCGTAATAAATGGGTTCTGATATTACTGATAGAATAAGTGAGATGTGATTCATTTTTCCAGTTGAAGTTGTTTTGATAAAAGTTGTTATACGTTGGACCTGAAAGAAATTAGATAAAGCATGAAACTAGATCGTAGACAAGTGTTAGCTTTAATAAAATTTGAAAGTACTATTCCATTATACACTAATTACTGGCATTTATTTCTCTGGTGAATATGGGAACAGACTGTAAAGACATTTTAGAACCCTGTAAATTTCTAAAAGAATGTTAAATGTTGGAAGACTGGTAATTGAAGGTAATTATGAGTCTAGAGTTCACTTTTTGGCAACTGTATATACACATACTAAGCACGAACGCTGAAGCACAAAAGAGCTGTGAATATAAGATGAAATGTAAAGGCAGCGTTTTCACATGCAGAGGTGAAAAAAATTCCTACATAGAAATCTGAGGTCTGACTATACAAATTGGGATTTACTAGAATCATGTATTTCATCAATCCGAAAATAACATTAAGAGTGAGGCACAGCTTTGTTTTGTGCAACTTTAGAACATGTACTGCAAGCTTCATTATGACACAGTGCCTAAACAGTAGTCTTGACCAAGGTGTGGGATGGTTTGACTAATCCCCTTACCGGTTCCTCAGTATTTGATAATTTTGGTGAGTGCAACTCCCTTTATTAGTTTATTAGTAAGAGAACAGCTTTAATTATTTATAAGTAACTTCCTTTCTTAATTCACATAAAACATTTCAATATAGCTTTGCGAGAAATAAGAATTGGATTCATTCCTTAAGAGAATGACTTGCTTCCCTGATTTTGAAATTATGCCCCATGCTTCTATTTCTGTATTTTGCTTGAGTGCCCAATAACTTTTCTCGATTCCAGATTATAATGTGATATTTAAACCCAGCACATGAACATAACACTGTTGGAATGCCAAAGATGTGAATAGCCTTGCCCAAATTGGCACATAGGTGGGCACTGAAAACTGTATTAAATACAGTAAAGACATCACTGCCACCTGGCTGACTGTAGTTTAGTAGTTTACAGAATGCTGTCAGTTGTAAAAGAAAACAAAAATTTCAAAAACTTGATTTCAGTGATATAAAAATTTGAAAAAACTGTGAAGATTAGAATTGAAATAAAGTAATCTTACTTGAGTTGGTGGTGGTATTAACTATAACCTAAAACTGTTGGAGAGATCAGTGATACCTAAGATTAGAATGTTTGTTTTATTATTATTTTTCTAATGACATAAAACTGCTAAAGACTCATAATCTTTTTTATAGCTTAAAACCAGAGATAGATATATCAGTAGCCTGAAAAAGAAATGCCAGAAGGAATCTGAACAAAACAAAGAAAAGCAGAGAAGAATCGAGACCTTGGAAAAGTATCTGGCTGACCTTCCAACTCTAGACGATGTACAAAGTCAGAGTTTACAGGTAACATAAAATAAAGTGCCCTTCAGATTATATGAAAACCATGTTTTCAGTTAATGTTTTAGAAATCCCATAATTTTTATAATTTACAATTTTACTTTTCCGTTTGTCTAGTTATCAGTTAAATCCGTTTAATTGCTATTTCTAAGATTAACTTTAATTAGTAGCTGTTCTTCTAAGCATGAGTAGATCTTGTTTTTCACGTTACCTTCCCAGTGAACCTGTGTGTTAACTCCCTCACTTACCATTCTGCTCTAGCAGGTGGTTTCTGGACCACTCTGCCCTGTCTGCCCTCCCCCCACACACGTATGCACCACAGTCCGACTTTTCCCAGTGGTCTCTGGGATCCGCTGAGATTCAGTAAGACCTTTTGTGACTGTCCTTCCAGAAATTTGATCTGTTTTCTTCATTCTTCTTAATTTTTCCACACATTCTTTCTTATACTCTGTGATCATTATTTACTCCTCTGACTTCTTTTCTGACCGTTTTTCTTTGTTAACGATGCCCCAAACCAAAGTCTTTCTACCAGTTCTGGGGCCTGTCCTCCTCAAACCTTACCTGTAAACCACCTACTCTATAGTCTTTTTTCAAAGTCTTTCTGATCATGGGGTTTCAGCCATGACACTGTTGACACTTGAGGGAGGATAATTCTGGGGGATTCATTCTGTGTGTTAAAGGATGCCAAAGAGCATTTCCAGCCTCTGCCTACTGGATGTCCATAGCACTGCTTTGTCCTTCCTTCACCCCAAGCCAAAAATGTCTACAGACATTTTTACATGTCGAATGTTGTGTGGGAGGAAAGACTGCGCCCAATTGAAATCGTTGGTCTAATCCATGGAGTGTCATTATTCTGCTGACTCGAGACCTACAATACAACACATTCTCTGTTTAAAGTAACTTATGATTTGTGAAACTAGGAGAGGTAACTGAAGAAGAAGACAAGAGCTTGTGTGAGCTGGAACACAAGGAGTATAGATTTAAAAACATGGGTTCATGCCACCTAACATACCCCATTCATAGGGCTAATATCAAAAAAAAAAAAAAGAAGAAAGTAACAAGTGTTGGCGGCAACAGTGTGGAGAGTTAGATTCCTTATGCACCATTGGTCACAATGTAAAATAGTGTAGCCAGTATGGGAAATAATGATAGTTCATCAGAAAATTAAAGATATAATTACCATATAATTTGTCAACTCCACTTCTGTGTATACAGCTGAAAGAATTGAAAGCAGGGTCTCAAACAGATGTTTGAATGTGACACGTGTTCCTAACAACATTATTTGCGATAGCCAAAAGGTGGAGACGACGCAGTGTCCACCAATGGATGAATGGATAAAAAAAAATGTGGTGTATACATACTATTCAGCCTTAAAAAGGAAGGAAATTCTGACACATTCTACAAGATTGATGAACTTGAGGACAGTCTCCTAAGTGAAATAAACCAGTCACAAAAAGATAAATACTGTATGAGGTCCCTGAAGTAATCAAATTCATAGAGACGGAAAAGTCAAAGTGTGGTTGCCAGGGGCTGAGGAGAGAAGTGGATGGGGAATTGTTAATGGGTATAAAATTTGCTTTGCGAGATGAAAATAGTTCTTTGTACCTTTTGCAACAGCATGGATGTACCTGGAGACTAGTATGCTAAGTGAAATAAGCCAGTCAGAGAAAGACAAATACTATATGATCTCACTTATATGTGGCATCTAATGAAGAAAATTAACGAGCAAAATAGAAACAAAGCATAGATACATTGAGCAGACTGACAGCTGTCGGGGTTCACGGGGGACTGGATGAAAGAATCTGAAGGGATTAGCTAGAGAACATATGTGACCCATGGATATGGTTAACAGTGTGGCCATGGCCTTAGGGAAGGGGGGTGAGGACAGGCTGGAGGTGGGCAAAGGAGGGGAAAGGGAACAACTGTAATGTGACCATAAAAATAAAGTGTACACACACACACACACATTCATATTCCCTCCCTCCCCCTCCCTCTCTCTCTCCCCCTCTCCCTCTTTCTCTCTCTCTCTGACTCAGCAGTCTCACTTGGAAAATTCTGTTGTACAGAAAGAAAACACCAGATCTCATTGCCACAAAGATATTTATTGCTGTTATTTTTAGTGGCAACTGCCCCCCCCCAAAACAAACAAACAAACAAACAAAAACAAACAGAAAAACAACCTGGAGACAACTTGAGGTTCCATCAGTAAGGGAGTGATTAAATTCATCAGTACATCTACGCTATGGAATATTTAGATCAAACTGAAAGAAATGCAGTGTGTGTATTATCCTAAAAGTCTGCCATGTTATGTGATATATTTCATGAATCCGGCTGTATAATTCCATTTTTCTAATAAAGAGATAGGGACATCCCTTCCTGCTTAAACTTCCAAAAAACAAAAAGATGGAAAGAGTTCTGATGGTTAGTTGCACAGTATGTGAATGTATGTAACAGTATTGAGGTTTACACTTAAAAATGGTTAAGATGGTAAATTTTTTATGTATATTTTGCCACAATTAAAAATATAATTAAAAAAAATCCCCAAATTGAGATCATTCACCTTCTCTCTTTGTCTCCTAGAAATTTTTGGTTCCATTCTCCTCTTCTCCATACTTCCTTTCTCCCAGCTCTCTTTATGCTGAGGGGGAGATAAAGTGTTATTAAGCAGATGAAATGAACAAAGTGTGACTTTTTACTATAGTGTATTAATCCTTGATAACACAGTGATAATTTCTTGTAGAAACACATTTAATATTTCATGTTTTATGAACTTAAAAAAATCTCTTACTAGCTGCAGGTTCTAGAAGAAAAAAACAAGAATTTACAAGAGACTTTGATAGACATGGAAAAAAAGCTTGAAGAGATAAAAACACAGTGCCAAGAGAAAGAGGCACAGTTAATATGCCAGAAAAAGAAAGAAAAGGAGTTGGTAACTACAGTTCAGAGGTAAGAAAGCCTTCAGTAATTCTTTTGTCATTTTTAAGTTATTTATGTATTTTTCTCTTTTTAAAGTATATTTTATTGATTATGCTATTACGGTTGTCCCATTTTTTTCTCCCTTGTATCCCCCTCCACCCAGCATCCCCCCTCCCACCAGCATTCCCCCCTAATTCATGTCCATGGGTTCTACATATTAAGTTCTTTGGCTTCTGCATTTCCTATACTATTCTTAACCTCCCCCTGTCTATTTGTACCTACCATGTGTGCTTCTTATTCCCAGCACCTTTTCTCCCATTCTCCACCTACCCGATAACCCTCCATGTGATCTCTATTTCTGTGATTCTGTTCCTGGTCTACTTGTTTGCTCAGTTTCTTTTTGTTTTTGATTTTTAGCTTTGGTTGTTGATTGTTGTGTGTCTGTTGTCATTTTGCTGTGTATATTTTTTATCATAAGTCCCTTTAACATTTCATATAATAAGGACTTGGTGATGATGAACTCCTTTAACTTAAGCTTATCTGGGAAGCACTTTATCTGCCTTCCATTCTAAATGATAGCTTTGCTGGACAGAGTAGTCTTGGATGTATGTCTTTGACTTGGAATACTTCTTTCCAGCCCCTTCTTTCCTGTAAGGTTTCTTTTGAGAAGTCACTTGGGAGTCTTAGGGGAACTCCTTTGTAGGTAACTGTCTCCTTTTCTCTTGCTCCTTTTCTCTTGCTCCTTTTAAGATTCTATCCTCTTTAATCTTGGGTAATGTAATGATGTGCCTTGGAGTGTTCCTCCTTGGGTCTCTCTTTGGGACTCTCTTGAGCATCCTGAACTTGCTTCTCTGGTTCCTTCACCAGATTGGGGAAGTTTTCCTTCATTATTTTTTCAAATAAATTTTCAATTTCCTGCTGTGCCTCTTCTCCTTCTGGCACCCCCCTTCTTGCAACATTTAAAGTTGTCCCAGAGATTTCTAAGCCTCTCCTCATTTTTTTTTTGAATTCTTGTTTCTTCATTCTGTTGTGGTTGAATGTTTATTTCTTCATTCTCCAAATCATTGATTTGAGTCTTGGTTTCCTTCCCTTTTCTGTTGGTTCCCTGTATATTTTCCTTTATTTCACTTTGCATAGCCTTCATTTCTTCCTTATTTTGCAACCATACTCAATTATTTCTGTGAGCATTCTTCTTACAAGTGTTTTGAACTCTGCATCTGATAGGTGAGCTATCTCCTCATCACTTAGTTCTTTTTCTGGAGTTTTGATCTGTTCTTTCATTTGGGTCATATTTCTTTGTCTTGGTGCACCTGTTAAATTATACGGGTATTTGCCTGGGTGGGGCAATCCATTTCACTGTATGTGGGGGAGAGGGTCAGAGTGGGAACAATGCTGCTTGCTTGGCTCTCCGCTGGCGTTCAGTCACTTCCCCTGCTACCCACAAGCAAAGTGGGCCCTTCTGGTGCTGATTGCAGGGTGTGTGCATTTGTGTACATTCTAGGACCCCTTGGGTCCCTTCAATAGACTCTCCTGTGAGATTGGGAGTTTCTCCCACCGCCGTAACCCCCATAGCTTTTTACAGCCAGAAATTTTCAGGCTTTGTTTACCTGTACTGGAACTGTGGGTTGCATAGTCTGTCTCGCTCCCCATTTGCGCCCCCCACCCCACCATCTTATCCACACACAAATGTGGAACTGCCTGTTCCTCCAGCCAGCACTTTACCTGCCCTGCCAGCCACCACCTTTCTCCATGTCTTCTCCATCGACCCTAGCTACCTGTTTCCACCCCTCCTCCCAGTCTGGATGAATGTTTCTCCTTTAACTCCTTGGTTGTTGGACTTCCATACAATTTGATTTTCTGACAGTTCTGGTTGTTTTCTGTTTTTAAATTGCTTGTTGTCCTTCTTTTAGTTGTGTGAGGAGGCTAAGTGTATCTACCCATGCCTCCATCTTGGCTGGAAGTCCAAGTTATTTATATTTCTCATAAAGCATTTTACTTAAAATACATTAACTTATAATTATTATTCTGTATTCCTCTTATCTTAAAGATGTCCTATTAAGAAACAGAAGCATTGTATCATTAAAACAGATTGTCTCAGTTGTTATTTAACATTTTGTTGCGGCATACTGACATCTTGCCAAAGGTTTTAGATGAAAATAGTTAAAAAAAAATTATCTAATGGATTTGTAAATAAGTAAGTGAAAATTCTAAATAACAGAAAGAGGGGCAGCCAAATATTCAAACTACAGTCCTTAATGAATTATACCCAAGGGAAGTAATCAGCCCCTGTTGCACCCTCCTGCAGAGGAACAGATGGGGCTGTTGTCTACATCCCTTCCAGGGTTACACACACGTCTGGCCTCATGGGACTCCTCTGTTTTAAACCACTGCAGTTAGAATTACAGTGGATATCATTTGTTAGTATATTTAGCTAGTATTTAAGTTGGGAAATACTGGATTCCTAAAAAAACTAGATAACTATGTTATATATGCATGCACATATACTGTGTTTGTAAAACTTAATAGATTATCAGTCATAAATAAATAAAGTACTCTGAAGAATGAGACAACACAGCAACAAAAAACTAAATTTAGGGAATACACTCTTCATGCATATATCAGTGATATATAACTCTATTCTCAGCTGTTTAATCAAAATGCATCTAATAATTCTGTGTTAATATTGCTTTACTACTTTCAGAGTCATAACTGTGCCTGTCCTACTTTTTTATTTTGGATTTCAGTACAGAAAATGCAAATTTCTAGGTTAATTCAGTCTTCAGTGCTTCTAACCTAACTCCAAAAACTTCATGTACTTTTGACTCTACCTTTTCTCCTATTTCCTGCTTTCCTTCTCTTTAAGAGAACTTTAGTACACATCTTAAAATAGCTTTCTGACTTCCACTAATTCCGCCATACATTTTTTCTTTCATCTTACTGATAAAATGAGGTAATGTATCCATTCTGGTTTATAGGGCATTATGATTATAAACTCAAGCTGTGTTTTATGAATATAGAGTTAGGAATACCTGAAAATAATCTGAATGTTTGTTTTGTTCCATTATGTGCTTTTACATATTTAATATGATTTCATACCTTCTCTTTTATTTAGAGTTACTCTGTTTTAGCGTTTTGGAGAACATCAACTCTAGTATTCTGTATTTGGGAAGACAGTACAGTGCATTTCAGAATACATTTTCCATTTCTTAACTTTATCTTGATACTCTCTGAGATACTATCACAGAAAATTTCTCTCAATTTCAAATAGATGCAAAGGATCAAAGAAGGTCTTCTATAATTCTTCAATACTTGTATGGCTATGGTGTCACTTGACTTTGGGGCAGGAGTGTTAATAGATTTCAGTTTCCTCAGCTGCGTGATATAGTATTCCTTAAGCTCCAGAATAACTGCAGGTGTATATATGACTTTGAATTATATCACTAGTTTTCTGTTTTGTATAATATTTCTAAGTAGCCTGCTTTATGAATACATAAGAACTTCTGAGATTTCAAAATAAAATAAGAATGTTTCCACTAGAAATGAAAGTGTAAGTAAATATGTGGGTGTGATCCCTAGTAATACAATAGTTGGTACCTTTGCTGATCAAGAGAATTACTAGTTTTCAAAGTGAGCATGCTGTAAAACATAAAGAAGATGAGACTGGATACATAAAAGGAGACTTCCTTGGTATTTTTCCACAACAGGGAACACTTTTCCCCTCCTCACAGCAGGCTCATTTTTTAAAATATGAAAGACCTTAAAAGTCTTGTTTCTATTGTAATACATAGTTGTGTCTTGACATTGAATTGGGGAAAAAAACTTATTCTGAAACAGAAATAATGTATTTTTCACTTTTAGACTGAAAAAGCAAATACTTTTTAGGACAAGTAGTACATTCCACAGCAGTATGCTACATTTGTGATACATTAAAACTTCTTTGGTGCCATCCTTTACCAATACATCTGAAGCCCTTATGGTGTCATTAGTGCTGTCAGTTCTTTGTCCGCTATCTGGATATGGTATCTCTTCTTTTTCTTTTTTCTTTCTGAATTTTAATAAGTGTTTTTTTGAGTCAAACTGTGGACACTGTCAGGAAGCAAGATCTCAAAGGCTCCCTTTTCTTTTTTTAAATTAATTTCCTTTTTTTTGTTTTGAAAGGCAGAGAAAAAGAGGATAGCCATAATACTTGAAAGAAGAAAAATAGTAAAAATATCAAAACCCAAATAAGATGAAGTCTGGTTTTTTTAGTACTTAGCAACTGTCAAGTATGATCACAAGCTAAAGTGGAGCTATTCCTAGGTATCTTGCTGCTGAATTTTGGTTTTGGTCAGCATTGTAAATGGTATAGTTTCTTTTAACCCAAATATGGCTATTTTTCTTTCTCAAGGATAATACTATCCCCTCCTTTATCCTTTTATCCTTGATGTATCAGAGTGTCTTTTTGTCATTTCCTCTTGTAAAATGCAACTGTGTTCCACGGATAGCACAAGAAACTGTTAGGTAAAGTAGTAAATACGAGGTCTGTCCAGAAGGTGTCCATCTATATAATGTGAAAAATAGAGACATTTATTGAAGAAGATACAAGATACAAGAAACATTGTGCATGGGACAATGATGCCCCAGTCCCCTTCAAAGTAGGCACCTTGGGGCCTCACACAGCTCTCTCAATTGCCATCAGCTGCCCCATCATATTTCCCTGAATCTCTTTGATGGCCAGAAATCTCTTCCATTTCAAAAGTTATGTTACTTTTGGGACAGGCCAGAAAATCACAGGGTCCAAATCTGGGCTTTAGGGGCTGCGGAGTCACCTGTATGATTTATTGTTTCTGCCAAAAAAAAACTCTGCATGGGATGTGATACATTAGCAGGTGTGTTGTGGTGATGAAGCTGCCAGTCACCAGTTGCCCATAGCTGCAGCCTTCTGAGTCATCCGAATAGTTTCTGCAGAAGCATGTTCAAGTCTAATACAAAACTTGATAAAGATTCGTTGCTCTACATGTTCAGTCATTTTGGATGCAACAGTACACATGCACACTCAATAGCATCTACTGCTGATGAGTACGGTGAAGTTGTCATTGTTCATGTATGTGCATTCCAGTCCACTCTCCTTGCCTGCCAGGTTACATCTATGTCATGCAAACTGTTCTTGTTATGTTAACAAGGACTGGACTTTTTCTGGACAGACCTCGTGTAATAGATTGCTGCTCTAATTAATGAAGGAGAAATGTAATTCTGCTGGTTTAGGCAACAACTGACTATCTTTACAAACTTTTGAGTTCAGAATGAAGGGCAAAGATGTGTGTTCATATTCCTAAGCTCCCTACCACAATCATCTTAACCAAGGAGCTCTGCTTTTGGTGGGGAGAGGTAAAGAAGAGGGTTTAGATTGCAGAGCTCAGATTGGGGTAATGAAGGCCTAAAGATGTCACATACTAGGCAACTCTTGACTCTGGTCTCTTTCCTGAAAATATAATCAGCTTCCTATCTGTTTCTTACTTGCATAAAATATAGGTACTGAAACTTATTCATATACTGTCTGTAGGTCTTGATTATTGCCTGACTAAAAAGTGTTGTAGAGCCTAAGGAGGGGCTTCATTTATGTTGAAGTCTTTACCAAAGCCAGCACATAGAGCTTATTTTCTTTATATAATTGTCTTTATAAAACAGTTTGCAGCAAAAGGTAGAAAGATGCCTTGAAGATGGAATTCGCCTTCCTATGTTAGATGCAAAACAGCTTCAGAATGAAAATGATAGCCTGAGAGAACAAAATGAGAATGCCGGCAAGGTCAGTATGTGTCTTTGATAATAAATATGAAATCTATACTATGTGGGTATGTTTGTCTAGATAAATAATTCATAGTTGCTTTTTATTTTTGCTAATATTTAATAGCTGATGGAAATTTTGGTTTGAATATCTTTATTTGGAAAGAAAAAAACAATTTAAATAAATTTAAATAAAAGCCAAACTCAGGAAATTATATTACTTCTTAGCAAAATCGAAAGGATATCTTTTTCCTTCCTAAATTATTCAAAGTCTGTTCCAAAATTATTTTTATAAATTCCATTAGAGAAAATTTTTGTCAGAAGTAGAGGAAGTTTATAGTTTTACATATGTGTGATCCAAATCATGTGGCTGTTTAAAGGATACTTGGCATGAATACTGTTATTTAAAAAATTACATCCTGATTTTTTAAAAATGTATAATTGCCTGTGATTATCTTTGTTTTTTGAAATACTGATATTTTTAGAAAATTTTTGATTCAGACTAAAATATTTACTGTGTTTTAGATAATAGATAGCCAACACGATGAGATTGACAGAATGGCTTTAGAAATTCAGGTAAGCAATGTTTTGTACTTCTTTTAATTTAGCACTATGCCAATATACTGGTTACACAACCTAAAAAGTATAAAGCATATATGGTATGTATTTGTATGAAAAGATAAATAGCACTTGGGATGAAGTTGCAATTCTCTAATATTAATCTTTGAATTTTTAGAACAAAAATGCTATTCAGTAAATCAGTTCTTCAAAATATTGTGAAGATTGTTCCTTACTTGTTCTCTTTTTAGTTGGGTGTGGTCTACCTCTGCTGTTAAGAACACATTTGGTTGTGGTCATCAGTGATCTAATATAAGACAGTGGTCTATTTTTAGTCCACTGTGACTGCAAAAGCCTTCTCCTTCCTAATATATTACTCTTTCTGTATTATCAAAGTATATAACATTTTGTTTACATATTTGTGTCTCTACCCTCTACTTAGATTCCTGGGAATGGAGATGATGGTAGATATCTGCATATCCAGAGTTTAGAGTATCTGACCCATGATACACAACCCAAAATTTGTGGATTAAGTAGACTTTTTAATTCTTCTATTGATTTTCCATATTTACTGAGCACTTTCATATGTGGCAGGCACTGTTCCTGACACCAGGGGTTCATCATTGAACAAAGCAAGTGCCTGCCTATTTTAGTGGGGCGAGATGGAGAAAATGAATTATTATATGAGGTAGTGATACGAGCTATTAAAAAATAGAGGGCAATGACAGTTGCATTAGATACAGTAGTCACGAAGTTTTACATGAGAAAATAATATGTACACAGATCTGAGTGAAGATAAGCAGAGGGAAAGCATTCCAGGCGAAGGGAGCAACCAACGTCCTGAATGTGCCTGGTGCACTCTGGGACCAGCAGGGAGGCTGCTGTCTGGAGTGCGGTGACTGTGAGGGCGATGGCTGGGAGGTGACAGGAGAAAGTAGCTGGGGGCCAGGTGACATAGGGGCACGTGTTCTTTGTATCACTATTTTATTCTAAGTATGATGGAAAGCCATTGGGCAAATTTTGCTGAATAAATACTTTTATGCCTCCTAATTCTAATATTCTTTAAAATGGGAGTTAAAAAGGAAAAGGTAAATGGCTTGGGTGTTAGTCTCTTTTGATTGCTTTTGGCCATGTAGAGTAGTTTGTCACTTTAATCAACAAGTATGTGAGCCTGCTGGTTTGATTCTTAGGAGTTACATTTCTTAATTTACAATTCTACAGACATAACTTAAGTTGTTCTACAAGCCATTTGAATCACAAGATGGCTAGGTTTTCTTAGCTCTTATTTTACCTATAGACCATAATGAAAGGAATTTATATTTCACTTGGTAACATTTTCTGAGAAGTAAATCTAGGAAAAGTTATCTCAATCCAAATTGAGTACAGCATCTCAACATTGTCCTTTGGCATCGAAGTGTTGGTAGATAAGATTTATAAGATTTTATTTATCACATGCTATCTCATATTATAGATGTTCAGGATATATTTGTATTGGATGAAATGTATATTTTTTGTATTTGTTGAGGCACCTTAATACAGTTCATTCTTACACATTAACCAAGTCTTGCTCACATTTAGATATGTCATGACCATATATAAACAAATATGTAGCAGAATATGTGATTATATGCCCTTCTGTTCTTTGATCTTAAAATGCTTTAGTAAACATTTCTTGTTTCTTCAAAATAATTAGAAAATGGAAGCCAAACTAATAAGGTGCATTTATTTCTAAATATTTGGGACCGGACAATACAATGTACTCATCAATTCTATCATCTTGTGAAGCAGTGGCAAGTTGATTCACAGTGTTGAAAGCGGGGGAATCAGTCTTCTCCTGGTGGTATAGAAGAAGTAGTGCTTCCTGCAAAAGTATATGCTGATTTTGAAATTGAGTTGAGTGCTCTAAAAATAAAGATGGACTGGCATGAAGATCTTGTTTACCTATTGATACTTTAGCAATATTGCCTTTCTTTACATCGGTGAAACCAGTATGGCTGAACTGTCTTCTCCTGCAGGTTTTTCTGCTGTCATTATGCAATATAAAAAGACATTTTTCAGTTAAACGTTCCCTGTCATTTCCATAAACATGGCTGCACTCAGTGTGAATGAGTTGTTCATTGGGCATTACCTTCCTTCTGGTTATGCCTCAAAAGCTCATTTCACCTACATAAGCCTGTCTCCACAGAGCTATTACTGTTGAAATCTTTTGGCAGAGGTGATATAGAGTAAAAAAGTTTATTTACTTGTTTTGTTTAATATATTAAAATGTTCCCTCACTGAAAAAACTTATGGATTGAAAGCGGCTTTTCTGAATGACAGGTATCAATGAATAACCAGTGTTTCAGGTGGGCACAGGTAACCAGGTTCTTGGTGATCAATGAACAATGAGTTGAACGGAACACACAGAGTTTATAGCAGAAAGGGGGAAAGCTCATTTTTTAAGTGATAATACAGTCCACAGAACAGAGGAGCAGGTCAACCCTGAGCAAAGATTGACACTCAATGGCCAGAGGGATTCTATTCTTTTCTTTTAAGTAGATTTTATTGATTATGCTATTACAGTGTTCTAATTTTCCCCCTTTGCTCCCTCTGTCTGGGACCCCTATTCTGCCCAGCCACCTCCACACCCTTAGTTCATGTCCATGGGTTATGCATATAAGTTCTTTGGCTTCTCCATTTCCTATACTGTCCTTAACATACCCCTTTCTATTTTCTACCTACCAATGTGTGCTTCTTAAACCCTACACCTTTCCCCCCATTCTCCCCTTCTGCCTCCCAACTGATAACCCTCCAAATGATCTCCATACCTTTGATTCTGTTTCTGTTTTGCTTCTTAGCTTAGTGTTGTTTTCTTTTTATACTCAGTTGTTGATAGTTGTGTATTTGTTGCCATTTTAATGTTCATAAGTTTGATCCTTTTCTTAAGTCCCTTTAACATTTCCTATAGTAAGGACTTGGTGAAGATGAACTCCTTTAACTTGACCTTATCTGGGAAGCACTTTATCAGCCCTTCCATTCTAAATGATAGCTTTGCTGGATACAGTAAACTAGGTTGTAGGTCCTTGCTTTTCATAACTTTGAATACTTCTTGCCAGTCTCTTCTTGCTTGCAAAGTTTCTTTTGAAAAATCAGCTGATAGCCTTATGGGCACTCCTTTGTAGGTAACTCTCTGCTTTTCTCTTGCTGCTTTTAAGATTCTGTCTTTACCTTTAACCTTTGGCACTTTAGTTATGATGTGTTTTGATGTGGTCCTTTTTTGGGTGCAACTTGTCTGTGCTTCCTGGACTTGTATGTTTATTTTCTTCACCAAATTAGGGAAGTTTTCTGTCATTATTTTTCAAATAAGTTTTCAATTTCTTGCTCCTCATTTGCTTCTGGCACCCCTATGATTCAGGTGTTGGTATATGTGAGGATATCCCATGGACTCCTTAGCCTATCCTTGTTTTTTTGAATTCCTTTTTTTTTTCCTTCCTGTTCTGATTGATTGTTTTTTCTTATTTATGTTCCAAATCATTGATTTGATTCTTGGCCTCATCTCCTCCCTGTTGGATCCCTGTAGATTTTTATTTCACTTAATGTAACCTTCATTTCTGCCTGGGTCTTTTTTTGACTAGAGAAGTACCTAATGAGTCCTTGAGCATCCTGATCACCATTGTTTTAAACTCTGCATCTGATAGGTTGCTTATCTCCATTTTGTTTAGTTCTTTTTCTGGAGTTTTGTTCTGTTCTTTCATTTGGGCCATGTTTCTTTGTCTCCTCATTTTGGCACCTCCCTGTGTTTGTTTCTGTGTATTAGAGCTGGTTTGACTCTGTGCCTTAGTAGCATGGCCTGTGGTAGAAAAGCGCACCTGTAGGTTATATGGGGTGGAGCCTTAGGCAATTGCCAGGGAGGGGTAGCAATCTGTGTCACTGCTCTGTGGCTTTGTGTGGGGGGAGGGCTAGGAGAGGGGCCGTTGCCACTGCCTGCCCTCTGGAGTTTTGCCCAGGAGGAAGCTGTCTCCTGACATTCACCCTGATACCAGTCACTTCAGTTTCCCCTCATATGCCACTAGGGCCCTTCCAGCTATTGCCCTGGTGCTATATCACAGAGGGAGTGAGTCTGCATAAGTCCTAAATTGGCTGTGGTCTTCTAAGAGGAGTCTCCTGAGAATTTCACACTTTCTTCCAACTTCCCCAAGCCCCACTGGTTTTTATAGCAAGAAGTTATGGGGACTTATCTTTCTGGCACTGGAACCCTGGACTGGGTGGTCAGGTATGGGACTGGGAACCTTGCTCCCGAGGTATCCCTCCCTGTTTTTATCGACCACACATGAATATGGAAGCACCTGTTCTGCATCTCCATGCTGCTCCGTGTCTCCGTACCTCTCCACCTCCCCACCTCCCCAAAAGGACCTAGAATGCTAATTTATTATAACACTATTATAATGAACCAGAGGTCATGTAGCATCTTCTGCTGAGGTGCAGGCATGCTTCACTGTGATTCAGCACTTTTCCAGAAAGCAGCAACAACTGGTTTTAGAACAGGGTCTCTGTTCTGTATTGATGTCCTTTGTCTTAGTCCTGGGTGCCTCCAGAGTTTCCTCACTCCTGGCTATTTCCTGCCTCAATAGTATCACAAAAGACAGAATGATGCTTCAAAGGTCATTAAGAATGTTCACTCTTAAAGGCATGGCTGGACACACCAATCTCAAAACTGTGACAGTCTGTCCTGTTTATTAACACATAAGACATTTCCACAGACTCAGAATATTTTATTGTGTTTAGTATATCTCTGTTACAGCCTTCATCTGTCAGGTTTCCTCAATAAAAATGGTGGGAAAGTATATCATAAGCCAATAGAATGACCTATAGGTAGAATATAACTTTTCTTTTTTTAATGTTTTAAAAGATTTTATTTATTTCTTTTTAGAGAGAGGGGAAGGGAGGGAGAAAGAGTGGGAGAGAAACATTGATGTGAAAGAGAAACATCCTTCGATTGTCTCTTGCATGCGCCCTGACTGGGACGGAACTGGCAACCC